ACTCCTTTACCCACACACGATAGAAATATAAAGCGTAGTATTTCGGGTTTTCTTCCCCAATTCCGGCCTGTGATTTGAAATAACTCATTGAATATGTCCAGAGCTTCCTGTCTGGTTTTCCTGATATGCTCGATCCAAAGCGATCCGACATCCAGGGTCACTCCAAGATAAACTAGGCTGTCGGTCATCATCTTAGCCGTGTCGCGTATTTTTATTTGCGGTTGTCTCGTTTGTTTGTGTGGGATGAATATCACTTCTGTCTTAGTCTCGTTGTAGGTTAGTGTGTTCGATTTGGCCCATGCCTCGCTGGCTTTCCAGATATGTGACTATTTTTGTTAGATTTATTTTAAAGAAGTACTCGATGTTATTAGGATTTGATCGTCAGCAAAGGCTTGGACCAAATCGTTTTCGTCTATTTTGTTTCGTCCATTGTCGTGAATCACGTGTTCAGAAGTAGTGTCCATAGAATCGGTTTTAAACTTGATCCTTGTGAACAGCCTCTGTTTATGTCCTTGATGATGTCTAGCGTCTATATTTGTCGTTTTTGTTGGAAGTATGGAGGTTTGCTATGTTGGACGGTATTTGGGTATTTAGTAGTCGTTTGTGTATCATCGGTATCCAGGCTGAGTTAAAGACGTTACGCATGTGCAGTGTTGCGATTAAGGAGTGTCTTTGGGTCGTTTTATTGCATTTTATTTAAGATGATTTGTATGACTTCTATTGTTTCGCAAAATGTATCTGTGATTAAGTTATGATTCTTTTAAGATATTATCTCTTGGGGATTTTTTATTTTTCATGGCTGCCATGGTCATGTCCATTTCGTGAAAGGTTTGTCATTCTGTGTGTTTGGTTTTTGCACAAGGAGTTCGTTTAGGTCAACATTATCTGTCGGGAAGTACTTCATGCAGGTATTGTATTGTTTCTTCTGTGTTTGTTGTTCTTGCCCAGTCTTCTCACTGCAGTGTGTTTAATGATTTGTCTTGTGTTGTTTTTGTCCCAGTGGTTTTTGGGGTTGTTGTTAGTCATGAAGTCTCTTATGGATTGTATTTTTGTGGTTTTAATCAGGTTTTTGTAATTGCGTCTATGTCTCTTGTATCTAGTTTGCGTTCTTTTTCTTGTGCGTTGTTCTCTGCCTGTTTCGTTTTTCGAATTTTGTTAGCCTGCGTCGAGTTCTCTTGTCCACCATGTTTGTGTTATTCGTTTTCGTTGCTATTTTGTCTAAATGAATTTTTCCATGATATTACTTCTGCCTGTATTTTTGTGACGTTTACAATTAGGAATAGGCACAATCTTTAACAAAGAACGTAAACGATCTACGCATGCTAATATGTCAAAATAAGAGCGGCGCTAATAGTGGCTGACCTTAGATGGACTTGCAATATCTCTCTAAAGCTTTGGTTTCTTTGAACACTCCGTCGCGGTGAGCGGACAGTCCGTCGACCGCTGAGGACAGCAATTTTCGCCCGAGGTGGTTTGTTAAAAAATATAGAAAATGATACTTTCTCTAGGTCTGTACGTGCTGTTTATGTATTATGAATGTAAACGAAAGGTACTAAAATGGATGCAAATAAATTGTTTGCGTTATTATTATTGTTGGAAGAGGAAGAACAAGAGGAACTGGCAATTGCAACCGTCAAAGTTTCCAATAAGCCAGTGGATGAGTTGTTTTTGTGTCGCGATACAGAAGGTGCCTTTAATATCACTGTGCAGCGGAGGCTTTTTGGAAATGAAACCAAATTTAGGGAGTATGTTAGATTTTCTACAGATCTTTTTGAATTCGTGTTGTTTTATAGAGGACATAATTTCCAAGAAACCTAAAAATAAAGTCATGATGTCATCTGTATGTGTGAATTTGTCACTCATTGTTTTAAAATTAATAACAATATAGTCTCCGCACACGCCGACGATTCCGCTGATATCAAACTCAACAGATATCAACCGACTCTTCGCAACAAATCAGCGGCATGACGCCGTCCTGCTCAGCTAAGCGGATTCAAGAAAACCATTCCCATTTAAATACGCTGGTTGGATAAAATCGTCAAAACGCGACGGTTGACGGACTGTCCGCTCACCGCGACGAAGTGTTCAAAGAAACCAAGGCTTAATAACTACAGTTGCTTTTGTTTTCAAACGTACAAATAATGACTGAATTGGTTTTTGTATAGCGGTCCATATTGCTGCAAGATAAGATACTTTAAAGTAGCTTTTTTGAATGAAAAATGGCAATAAATAAATATAACATATAATTCTTAACACAATATTTTTGATTAATACATTTTACATTTTTATTTAGGTATTGGAAGTGTGTTGTTATTTTGGTGGGTGCGTAAAATCACAGCACATAAATATTGGTCTGGTGTTCAACAATTAATACACCATAATTTTTCTGATGAAGGCAATGAAAATCCCCTCTTCCATTTTATATGGACCGCTCTCAGTCTAATGGACAGCTGAATTTAAACTCGATTTTTGATCAAAACTAGATTGACGATAGACAAGTCATGGTGTGGGAGATGGTTAAGGCTGAGGGAATCTCACGTTAACGACTTTAGAGTACGCATGTTTGCGAATGATGAAGTTCGCTGCCGCAATTGCTCAATGTTGACAACAAGCTCTCGAATGACAACTTTAAAGAAATATTTGACGTTGTTTAACAATAATATGGACCTTTTGCGTAACTGTGGAAGAAAAACGGATTTATTACAAAACATCAGAAAGCGTATGCTTGAAAACGAGAGTGTGAAAGGCAAGGCAGGAGAAAGTTGATGGTTAAAGTGAATGAAGAATAAACAGATCGTTGTAGATCGTTCAACCAATTAGACACTACGAATTTTGATAGTGACATTAATTTAATTATTAATTCTTTCTTTTAATATTAAGACCTTTATTCTGCAATTACAGTTGTTATTTGGCAGCTTCATAACAACTTGCTTACCACTTTCATAGCTGTATATCAACTTTGACAAAAATCGCAATCAAGAAAAAGTAGTCTTTGGTATTACTGCTTTCCATTAGAAAAATCATATATATTCCTATTTATTTCTTATGTATTACTATTACCTTATCAGTACATATATCTCATTATTTTATGGCTTTTTAAAATATTTATTACTTTAGGGTCCTTATAACCTTTTTCGGCAATTGTTAGGCTTAACCACCTGGTTGCTTCCAAATCACTCGGAATCCACTTTTGTAAACAATAGTTATTACAGATTTTACAAAGAAAATTCTGATTTTCTCAAAGTGGTAATATAACCACTAATCTTGGTTCAAGAAACTTGCTCGATAGTAACTGTATTATAAAAATAGACCACTAATAATAGTAAATTTAGTGTATTATGAATTCCTTATGAAAAAATGCATGTAGATTGCCTTTCTAAAAACAATCTATTTCCTCATTTCAATTTTTTATAGTTAAAAAAACATTTTAAAACCATAGAAACCAGAAATAATATAAGCTTAATAGTTATGTGTGTACCAAGGCCGTAAAATTGCTTGGCCTCGGCCGCAAATTCATCGTTAACTAACAAAATTTGTACGATAAGTATGATAAATCTGTGTTTATAAAAAGCGGCTGTAAAGTAAATGCGGCCAAAAAATTACCCTTTTAGGGATGTTAATAAATTTGTAAAATGGCATTTTTTATGACAGTCGCCTAAAAAATAGATTTTAGATGTTTTGTGATTCATACGAAATATTTGCATTTATTTTATATAGAGTTGGAATACCTATTTTATTATTTTCACTTCCAAATTCATTTTTAAATGAAAGTAAAAAGTATAAAAACGTCTCGGGGAAAAACCACTAAACACATAAGGTTATGGTTAAATTTTGAGTCCTCTTTAAAGAATTTAACTTTATGTCCCTGACATATATATTTGTGCTCTATCTTAAAACAAGAAACAAAATAATATAAATCCTTGGTCAGGAAAAGCAGCAACTATTACTTAAACTTCCATTCAAAAAAGAACTGCAAGAAAGTTAGAAAAGAGAAAGGAAAAAGAAATTTAAAAAAAATTACTGACCAATAATTAGCAAATTGAACGCCTTCAAATATAGTACAACTAGCAGCAAACCTTTTACATCAAAAGCCAAACGGTTAAAGAAATTGGCAAAGTTAATGATGCTCAGAAAGCAACAAGAGCGTATGGATCTGTATTGTGAAGATAAACATTGGGAAAAATGGGGCAGATAAACATGGAAATATCAAGAGTAGCACATTTTCCCGCTCTTTTTTTAGGATGGACTGAGATTTTTTAAAGGGTGTCTCAATATATAAGTATCTCAATTTTAGATACTTGACTATTTCCAATTGGGAAACCTTTTTTGATGTCAAAATATTTAGAAATTATTTAAAGATTTTTAAGTTTAGTTAAAATCAGTTTTATTTACTATTTTTTGATGCAAAAATGATACAGGTAAAAATGTTAAGGTAAAGTTTTAGGTTAAATTATATGTACATTTTGTAACTGATTAATTTATTTCGAATTCTCAAAAAAAATTATTTCAATTCAGGATTCTCTCCTTATTTAAAGGACATTGAAAATTTAGAGAATGGTTGGATAAAGTATATTGATCTAAAGAGTTAAGAAATACATTAAGTTTTGCAGAAAAAAAATTGTGTATATTGATTAGGCCGATTAGTTTTTAGCCCCTCTTAATATGTATAAATAGTTTAATCGAAATGAGTAAAATGGCTCCTTATAATATTAAAATATATGCAATTTTATTCTTCTATTACATTAAGTAATTACAGATCACATGAGAGTATTGCACTTAACTCTTTTTGCTGTATTACTTTGTTATTTTTTCTTTTTGCTGCATTACTTTCTTTCAATATTATTACGAACATTAACAATAGATGTAGAGTAGAAATGTCCAAAAATATTAATATATTGCTTTTAAAATGGTGTATATATTATAATGTAATTAAAAAATATATCTTAAATAGTTACGAAAGATAGTTAATTAGTGATTCTTATTTTAATGTTACTTGTTATTGTCATGAACTGTGCAAGTAGATTTTCAGAAGGACAAAAATCCGATCTAATATTTGTCAAATCTGTAATTATTTTAAATAAATAAACAATAAATTATTGTCCTAACTGTAAAGGACTTAGTACAATACCGCTGTGCGTCTGTTTTTCACTGCTATGACCTTTTTTGTCTCCATCACTACTTTCACTATTATCGTTTCTTTCCAGAACTATACTTAAACAAGTTTCGGTATTGTCAACATAACTGTTTACTGGTTCTCGCGATTTTATAAACTTCGAAGCTGCTTTTTCTGCCTCAGTTGCCCCTTTGCTATCGCTATCCGAGCTGGAGATGCTCTGGATATCGTAGGTTAAGTCTAAAGCCTGTAGCTCAATGATGGAGTCCTCTCGCGGAGACTTATCCCCGTCGTCGCTGAAGCTATTCGGCAAATGGATTTCGGGTATGGAGATCTTGGTGGTCGACTGAGGTAGCTCCTTGTATTCAGCGGTACTAGTACTAGGCAACGAATGGTTAGGCGGTACTGGCGGAACTATGGAAACTTTCTTTTTGCTTTTTCTATGGGATGTCTTATCTACATTTACGAAGTCGGATTCATGTGCACAACTAAACTTTGTCGATAGATACCTATTGGATCCGTGAGGACAAGCGTTACTTTTTAGTCTAGTCTTTTTTCGATTTCTAAAACACGTAGAGGGTACGGCACATAACAACACTCGTATTAGGCAACACAGTAGGCCGCATGCTATTAGAGTAGGTCCGATAAGTCTTAATTCTAAGGTTTTGAAGCCCTTTTCCCCAGTTCCCACGAAGAAGATGACGCTGCCGATGGCTGTCGTTCCTAAACCGACGTAGAGTAGTGCGTTTGCGGCGGCACTCTGGTGATAAACGCTGAAGAAGTCTTCTTCATCTGATCCGACACCATAGCTCGAGTCGTGTATCTGAAACAGTATTTAAAATTATATTTTTAAAAAGACTTAACCAAAACATGTTAAAAGAACAGATCAATAAATAATACTATAAATTGTGTGTCGAATATTGATATTGATTCTATCTTCCACCACAATATTATTACAAAACAAAAGGAACAAAAAAAAGATAAATTATTAGTGTTGTACAGGTAATTGTTAAAAAGAAGTAAACTAAAAAATTGGTACCTAGTTTAAGAAAGAACAAAAGTTTGAATATTAACTGAATCTCAAATCATTCTTCTTCCAATTTGAATGGTTCGTTCAGAGATTTGATGGGTACGTATTAAGAATAATTTAATTTCTTTTGATACGGCATCCAGATTATAAATAGGTCTGCCGTTACTATGATGAAAGTCACATGGCACATAGCACCATTAATTATCTATAATTTGCCCTAAAGCTCTCAATTTTGTTATATAATATAGAGATGGCATGTCAATAAAAAAGCGATCTATTTCTCCCTCCCTCAGAAGTTGACGAAGAGCTCTCGAAACTATAGCAAATCTAAGTATTTTGGCAATAATTTTTTCTAAATCTTTATTTTTTAAATATTTTTGTTCTGATAGTTTATATTAAAAATATCCAAATTATGACTCGGCCAAAATAGCTCTTGAACGGAAATCTAAGTTCGCGTAAAGCATGAGAATTTAGAGAGACACAGTAAAAAATCTATTGTACTCTACTATACTAGACACTGTATTTTTGGTCGAACTCAAATTTTTATTCAAGGACTGTTTTTAAAAATACCATTTTGGCCGAAACCGGTTTATAAATACGGTTCTAAACGTTACATAGGCTGGAAATCTAATGGGAAAATCTCCGCAACTTTGTCATTTCAGAAATTGATACATATTTACGAATAAACATATATTTCATTCATAATTTTTTTAATTCATTCCTGATTTAAAGAAAACGATTATTAAGGTGGTTTCTAAAGTTTAACGCTTTCGCTGCCTAAGCTTTAATGGCCCATCGGTATACGAACATTTAGAAAGTTGGACGTTCATTAAGGTCATGGGTCATATACAATGAAAATCTAAAAATGTATTCTAGAGAATAACTATTATATATACAGGGTGATTATAAATAGGAACAGAAGTTAACACAAAAAGAGAAAAGAACATAGACCTCTAGAGGATGTCAAGTACTGACGTCAAAGAAGTATATTACCGGTCCGCCGGCTGACGGTGTACCTATAAATTCATTTATCAATCAAGGTAGTCAAGTACTTCATGAATGGTTGACCCGAGACTATTAGTTCTCAGAAGCCTATCTAGGGAGTGGAATAAATGAGGAATTAATAAATCAAAAGAAGTAGGGTATCCAAATGGTGGTACAATTAGGCAATGAAGCTGCAGCCACCATGTCAAAATCTTTTAGGGAAGGCTGGACCATTCAAGGCGGGGAGTCAAAAACAATCAAGAGTAGTTTAAAAGGAAGTCTGAAAGGATGAAAAAAGACGTAAACTCTCGTCGTAGTTCTATACAGGCTGTCCCATTAGTGCATAATTGCCTCATATTTTAATTTGTATTATAGATACATGTTTTGAATAAAAGTTAGGTGAATTTGAAAAAAATATAATTTAAAAACATTTTTGGATATACAGGGTGTTACGATTTTGCCTGAAAGTTTTAGAGTGGCATGATAATATTTTATTTACCAGTAGAATATTTTTTAACTTATAAGGACCAAGCTGTGATGAAATACTTGGTTTATTTTATACAGTGTTTTAATTATACATATACAGGGTGCCCCATAAGTGGGTAATTGATCGATATATATTTTTTTATTGGAGATATGAAGAAATGTTTAATATTAAAGTTGTAAGACCATATTTTACAATTATTTTTAAATATACATGGTAGTCTATAAATGAGGGGAAAACCAAACAGAGTTTTTTAAACCAAACACCCTGCAGGTAGTTACGCCTTACAGATTTGGTTGTTTTCACATCGTTTTATAATTTTACTATACTAAACGTTCCTAAAAATATTTAATATTTTCATGTATATGCTGTGATGCATACGTGTCTAAACTTGACGTTACAATATTCCCATTTTTTTGGAATATAACCTGTGTGTTATACCACCAATTTATACATTTATTTCTTTACCTTTTTTATTTCGTTTGGTATTCTATTCCCAGATGAATTTTTTCTCAAGATTTTGTCGGTTTTACCATGAAAATTGAGATAATTTTTTCACATTTTTCTAATTGGCTTTTGAAAATATGGACTTATTTAGGGTAAACTGCTATTTTTGGTAATCCAGTTGTCAGAATTAATTAATGGTTTTCTATTCCTTCGACGTTACAATATGAACCATTGTAAATAAAATTTAAAAATCAGTTTAGGCTCAAGAATGCCAAACAAAATAAAAATTAAAGGAACTAAATTATTAGTTAATTAAATTTGTGGAGTAACATATAGGGCATTTCATTTGAAAAAAAAAAAAATATTGCGTTTTGGCACATTCTATATATTGGGTGTATCTTATAGTGGTACCCGATGTTTTTTTCAAATAACTTGACAACCAGGTGACAGATCGCCATGTTTGATAATGTTTTAGAAACGTCAGTACAATTTTAACAATGAACCACCTTACACCACAACAACGTGCTGAAATTGTAAAAATTTATTTTTAAAAAACTTCTCTGTTACGCTGACTCAATGCGCATTCAGAGCGAGGTATCGTGGCCAGAATGCGCCTACCTCGAAGACTATTCGTGCTTTGGTTGCAAAATTTAATGCCACAGGATCTTTGGCAACCTCTGTCTGTCGGAATAAGCCGCATACCAGACGGAGTATGGAAGCAATAGCAGCCCTAAGTGCCGACGTCGCGGAGCGTCAACAAGTTTCGGTCCAACACCGTTCTCAGCTGTTTGGCATGTACACCATGTCCATGTGGCGGTTGTAAAGGATGAATTTGCGCGCCTTTCCTTACAAAATGCAGACCGCTCAACAATTATTGCCAATTGATAGGTCGCAATATGCAGGACATACTTGCCGGTCAACCTCATTTTTGGAGCTGTTTGATCATGACAGATGAAGCACATTTCACGCTGTGTGGCGTTGTTAATACGCAAAATACTCGCTGTTAGGGCATTTAAAATCCTAAAATGATCCTCGAAGAGCCTTTGCATTCCCCCAAAGTCACTGTTTGGTGCGGTGCTTGTGCTGAAAGGGTCATCGGCCCGTTCTTTTTCGAAGACGAAAGACGATAACGGCGCCCCAGTAACAGTCAATGGCGAGCGATATCGGGCCATGTTACGCGATTTTGTGGCAAATGAGGTAGACGAACATGACATGGGAGACTATTGGTTCCAGCAAGACGGCGCAACATGCCATTTAACAATGGATTTATTGCGTGTCATGTTCCCGAATCGATTGATATCGAAATACGGCGATTTCGACTGGCCGGCTCATTAACCAAATTTTACCGCGCCTGACTCTTTCCTGTGGAGATACCTGAAGGGAAAGGTTTATGCCGATAAACCAGCCACTTTCCAACAACTTAAGGCCAACATACGCCGAGAAATCGCTGCCATTCAACCCGAAACACTCCGAAAAGTGATGAAAAATGCCGAAAAATGGGCCAATTTGTGTGTGGCATCCGGAGGTAGCCACTTGGCCGATGTCATCTTGAAAAAGTGACCAAATAAATTATAATGGATTCAATTTCAATAAAAAAAAATATTTATTACAAAAAATTCACTGTTTGTCAAATTATTTAAAAAAAACTTCGGATACCACTATAAGATACACCCTTTACAACGTAGCAAATGAATGAAAAGTCAAAACATTTTTAGAAAAATGAAGTCTATTAAAATTTTTTGACGATATGAGAATAAATAAATTTGTTATACAAGGGGGGTTTATGTTAAAACAGTATAAGTTTTTCCACCACTTAAAAATGTCTTCGTATCTTTAATAATAAGAAAGCTATCGATCAATTACGCACTGATGATACACCCTGTATATGTATAATAGCCTAACATGATGGTATCGTTAGATAGCTAAATTTATAATGAATTTATTGCTAAAATACTATACAGGGTGTTGCATTCAAATTGGGTAAAATGAAGTTAAAATTATCCATATTTATCTGTATAAAATAAACTAGTTCTATCATCTCTATTCGTTAGTTTTAATTAATTAATTAGAGAGAATAATACCCCACAATAATTCACGCATTACTAAATTGGAATGAAAAGTAAAACATACAGTATAGAGGTAAATGTTCACTCGCAGTGCCTATATCCTATGGCTCGTATACTTTTTCCAAATCTGCATATTCGTGTAATATCCTATACCCAATTTATTAATTTTATTGTCAAAAATTATATCAAATTATGGTTTACTTACTTATTTTACATTCTGTTTATTAAATAAACCTACATTTCTTACACAATTTATTAAACAATGTGGTGAATATTGATTTAAAAATTATTTAGTAAATACCAAAGCAACTCCTGTTTATGTATACATTATTATGTAATTAAAAAATGGATGTTTAGCCTTACCTTCATATTTAAAATAATTTTTTTAAACAGTTATGTACAACATGGAATAATGATGGACAACTTCTGTATTGGATTTCAATTTGGATTAAAAATATCCCTAATTACATGTCTGGGACCAATTATTATTAAAAACTATTAGTCACTAAGCTCTCGTTGTTTTTAAATTTAATAAATTTAATTGATGACTGGAAAATAATGATTACGTCTATCACAAAAAAATTGCCTTTTGATTGATTAACTTTACTTTGAAAAATAATGAATAAATAATTTTAAATACCTAATGGTTTTTAATTGAGATAATAAATTATGAACGGTTATTTACATTTTTAAATTATTAACCCTCTTACTAATTTATAAGTACGTAACCAAAGTTTGTAGCATGTTCGTGTATATTAAATTTATACGGGGTGTAATAAGTTAGTCAAAGTCAATGTTAACTTGAATATTAAAACAGAAAACATCAAACTACGTACAAATAACTTCAAAATCATTTATTAAAAAAATATTATAATATATCTAATTTAAATTAGGCTAGCAACAAAGCTGTCAAGTTTTCCGCTCGGTGAGCGATAAAGCTGCCACAAGTTCAGTTCGCCGAAAACGTCAATTTGCTCTTAACGTAGATATAGGCATCACATTATATACGACTTACGACAAATGTTCAGTTTTTATATTTATTTTTTAAAATGATGTGTCCATTTTGAGCAAAAAGTTCGTTTCCGCTTTCGACAAATAGCTATTGTGTATTAAGAGCGAAAAGTTATACTTTGCCGCTTGAGGCAGAAAGTTGCCCGCGCTACGCGTAGCGGAGCGCGGCATTCCGTCGAAAGCGGCAATGAACTTTTCGCTCAAAATGCACACAATATTTTTACTACGATTATATTTTTTTAAAAAATAGAAATTAAAACTGAAAATTTGTATTGTAAGTTAATCATGAAAAAAGCAGTTAATAATTAAAGTCCATGTTAACTTGGACAATATAACAAAAAAAGATGTTACTACTTAACTTGAAAATCATTTATTTAAATGAAGTATTATATTGTTACGCAGAACCCTGCAGCGTATTGCGATCGTCATAAGTAAAGGTTCGAGTAAATGAAGAAGGGGAAATATTCGAGAAATGTCATTCCACGTCAAGAAAAATTTTAGACATTTCGAGAAGGTTCGAGAAGGTTAAAGCAAGCTTATATAAGTCACTGATCCTGACGTCAGTCAGATGATAGACGTTATATGTTAATGTTATCAGTTGTGTAGTTATTGTAAAAGTTGAGTTGAAATAAATTGAGATACCAAAAACCTACTTACTTTGATTTTCTTTTACTATACGGAGAATGGTCGCACTGCGCAGCTTTCTGAGTGCCTTTTAAAAGGAGACAGAAAACTTCGCCATTTTGAACCCTTATTACGTGTTGCCTACATCTTGGCGCAATTCCGGAAGCAGAAGCGGATAATTAAAACGCATCTGATATTTTGCTTGCTGCTGTCAGTGTCAGTAAGTATTAATTTTGAAGTCACAGTTTATTGCTAAAGAATCAGTTAGCTCACTCGGACTAGTTGAAAGTTCCAAAATAACATCCACTCCAGGGATACAAATTCAGGATACGCAGAAGACTGCTGTTTTATTATAGGCGGTTGTCATATATTGTATTATCCGAGTTGCACAGTGTATAAACTGAAACATTGAGATCAAAAGTGCCGACGCAGAGTGAGCGATCTGATTCTTTAACTTTGTCACAGGGTTCAAAATGGCCGCGCCCTATATTGGGCGTGTCGGACCTCTCTCTTGCCTCGTATATAATCAAAGTATGTGCAAAAACCTGTGTAACAATATTACAGCTTATTGGGCGGACAACAAAACTGTCAACTCTGTCGCTCGGCGAGCGACAAAGCAGTCATTTAATGTAAGTTCGAGGAAAACTTCAACTTTTCGGTTAGATTTCAAAACGCAAAAGCCTACTATTGATAGTGATCGTAGAAAAATGAATTTTTAATTCATTATTTACAAGTTACAAAAAGTTACTTTTAATTTGAAAAAGTAATTTTAGAAATTCAAACAGTTTAGAATTTTAGATAAAATATACGTTTTGTTTTAAATGAGCTAGTGCCAAGTTAATGGCAAGAATCCCACTAAGCTTAGGTAAACATGTATACAGTTTTCCAGACAGAAATAGCAGCAATACAATACTGCGCAAAAGAGGTATTAGGACTATATAAATCGAAAAACCACTGTCATACGAGTATACCCCGACAGAGAAGAGACGTTAAGACACTCAGTTTAATTCATGTAGATGCACTCAAAGCTTGCATGAGAATATTTAGCAGCTCGTTTAATTTATGCAGATGCACTTATAGCTTGTATGAGAGTGTTTAGCAGCTCCAACAGACAAACCTTAGCTTGAGTACCAGGCCTCAGAGTACATAAATGCAATGATTTACTAGTCCGAAAAGGATCCCTAAAGGCTTGATGTAGAAACTTTCTGTTTTGTCTCAAAGACAGCCATCAGAACATACACAGATTAGTGGATATTCAACAAATCTCAACAGAAATATGCCAGAGGGTGCATAAAATAAAAAATACTTTAGTACTGGTAGGCTTATTACCAGGCGTTTATGTATAGATTCTGTCAGGAAGAGGAGGAGTCTGCCGTACACGTCTACTACGAAGGTCTATCAAGATTGAGATTCTTCATTTTCGGACAGGAAAAATCAGGGGCAATTAGCTACACCAGAGAGCTACTTCTTAATTTGTGGATTCCGCTAGAAAATACCACTAAACTAAACAAAATACTCAAACCAATGATCTAAGAATATTCACAAATAGAAAAAAAAATAATCTAAATATAAATGCATATACTAATCATTATACACGTAGAGCTTCTCGTTTCCTCGACTAGGTATACTAAAGGAAACTTTTTAATTTTTCCTCCATTCTCCGCTTTAGGTAAACTTTTCACAAATATTTGTCAAAATATTAAATGACTGACATTAATCAGCTTTTCCGGTAAAAAGGCGCAAGTAATTCAAAAGTCTTTTAGTAAAAAGGAAAAGGAAAATAGGCGAATAATGATACTTTACCCTGTTTCTTTTCATCCATCGGTGATGAGCTTCCGTTTGTTTGATGCGGTGTTGCCGCGCTTCCTCGGAGAGTGAACAGCGTCTGTCTCTTTCTCGTTCCTGCCATGCCGCTCGGCCCTGCGAGCACTAAAATGAAAAATTTAACTGTAATCAACAAATTAAAACTTGTTACCGGTGACTATTGCCAAAATTTATAAACTGTTATGGTAAGTACGTTAGTTAATAGAATGGTAATTCCATCTAGTAGCAAATCAACATTGAAAGAATAAGAAAAAATTCTATAGGTTGTTCATTCCTATGCGACATCATACCGCTACTCAATATTACTCTAATAATATTAGATATATTAGAATAGATAATTGAGATTAAGAGAACTAAGCTGAATTAAAACTATATTATATTAGATTCCAAAATTACCCCCAAGAAGTAAGGATAATTATTTTTGAATGCCCAAAGTGACAACAAATTAATAAAATTAATTAAAAATTGCAAAAATCTGTCCACGGGGATCCGAACACACCTATTCGTGTTCTACGCACACCGCGCCGATAGTTCATTTGGTTAAAGCGATGTGAAAGAAATTTTAACATTTAGGAGACATTACTCAAATCGTAGGTCACGTGGTACAAGAAGTCCAAAACGGCGCCGATATTATATCTGCTTTTATTCCTAGCGCAGTAAATTTACTCAAACGACCTTATTATTATCGACTCAGTAGCAGAATGTGGTAATTACGGGCTTTGTAGTGGTTCAGCCACACTTTGCTTCAGATCTTAGACCAATATATGTGAATTTTCAATTAATTTGTACGATCCAGATTACAAATCGCAGGGCGTTACTCTTTCGGTGATAGTGAACGGGTTTTTTCAGGATTGACCTGTAATCAAATAGCACTGTGATAAATGGTTCTGTGAGTCGTCCCGGAGCGTCATGGTAAATAATAATAATAATAATAGTAATAGCCGTCCCTTCCTCGCATAAGGTCAGTAAGCTTGTGGGGTTAACATTCACTCGTAAGGGAGTGCATTATAGAGAGACTATTATTATTGAAGGTATGTGCTTTTGAAAAACGAAAATAGTATTAGATGCTCAGTTACTATATCTGATTCCACTATACAGTGAGGACGTATAGAGCCACAACAAATAATAATAATAATAATAATAATAGCCGTCCTTTCCCCTGCACATGTCGCTCAGACTTTAGGCACCCTATTCTTGAACTCATGAGAGTGCTCCTACACTCTCCTACTCGACTGCTTCATCACCAGTGTTGCCAGACGACCAATTCAAATTGTTGTACAATTCTGTAAAAATTATCTTTTTTGTATAAATTTATGGCACTAAACTGACATTACTAGTGTGATGTTATCGGAGGTTGGTTAATTTAAGAGCTTATGGGGTTAGGGTTATGGTAATTTGATAATAATTTTATTAAGTATACGTATAAAAAAACAAAAGAAAAAAATAGCACTTAACCTATTCTTGTTCAGCTAAAGTTTCAAAAATAATTTCTTCTTGTAATCCTTCCGGATTTTGATGTTTTATTTGTTTTTGTCTATATATTTTTAAAGATGTCTTGAATGTTATCATTTCATATCTAGGTTTAAAACTTACATATCCATTATCCAAAGGAATCCGCACTTATTTCTTTATGTAAAGTGGCGACCGGTCAAATTTTCTGAAACTGAAAGTTTTTTACCTACATCTGTCCTGAGATCTATCTTCTCTGTCATTGTAAACCCCAATATTTTGGTCACCAGCCGCAACTGTTTTAAATTGTCCCTTGCAATGGACATTTCAGCAAAACTTATTTTAAACTTATATATTCTACATAGAGAGCTTTTCAGTTTGAAGAAAAAATAAATTAAAATCAGCAATTCTCCACTTTAACGCCCTGTGTCTCGAAAACTGGTCATGTATCGGATGTTAAAATTAATATATACCGAGAAAATGGTTACATTTGACGGGGGAAATAAGCCGCCTTGTATTTCGATTCATAAGTACAGGGTTTTGAAGTAATCCTTAAAAATAATAATAATTTTATTTTGTTTCTCACTATAAAACACCTTATATAAAAAATGCATATTGTGCAATATTTGGTCGACAAAATACCATATTGAGTAGTACTTTTTAAAAATATGCTTGCCTGACGTCACAGTAGAATTTGTAAGATTTTGCAAAAAACTACCGTCATACATTTGTGAATCACCCTGTAATTAAAAATATTTTTAATTGTACGTATATAATAATATATTACAAAAACATATGTATGCAACAGAAATTCAATCTAGCTCGTAAGTTGAGAAATAAAAATTCCGAAAAATTGGAAAACTTATCGTGCGTTTTGCAACACTGCTTTCGCCGTTGACATGATTTCTTATAATTTTATTCGAGTGACATGCACAGCAAGGCCAAATCATGAGGAAGTACTCACACTCCTTTTCCCATAGTTGCAGAATACGGCTCCAGGGGTTGACATTCATTCGTAAGAGTATTATTATTATTATTAATATAATTATAATAATTTCTATATTTTTCTGTCTAACATTATTTTAACTAAATACTCTCACAGGTTAATTTATATTTTTAACTTCGCGTTTTACGCTACAATTCGATGTACTAATGACGTCACAACTTTCATGTACGTGACTTCGAAAGAACATTCAATTGGAGCGTAAGATGCGCAATTCAAAATAAAAATTGTTCTGTAAAAGCATTTTGATATAAATAAAGTGAGACAAGTTAGCGCTGATATAAATAAATTATACCAATGTTAGTTTTTTAAAATTTTTCTCATTTAATGTTTTTTTTTCCGAAGAACTTGTAATGGCTCCAAGCCGCACAGGTTAGGTAGATAAGTTATGTTTTTTTTAAATTTTGCTTATTTTATGTATATTTTTGCGATGAAACACGCGATGGCTCCAGGCCACAAAAGTTAGGTAAATTAGTTAATTTTTTTAATTTTTCCTATTTTATGTATAACGTTTTTTCGATGCAACTCGCGATGGCTCCAGGCAGCATGTTAGGTTCATTAGTTAAGTTTACTGTACAATTTTTTTTCGAAGGAACTCGCGGTCGCTGCATACCGCACACGTCAGGTAGTTTAATAGGTTTTGTATTATTTTTTTTTGTATGTATAACTTTTTTCGATGCAAACCGCGATTGCTCCAGGCCACACAGGTTAGGTAAATTAGTATATATATATTTTTTTAATATTACTCACTTAATGTACTCTTATATTTTTTGCGAACAAACACACTATGGTTCCAGACCCCACAGGTTCAGTAAAATAGTAAGTTTCTAATTTTTCTCATTATATGTATAATTTTTTCAGAAGGAACTCGCGATGGCTTCAGGTCGTAAGTTTTTTTAATTTTTGTGTTAGGTTGGATTCTACGAACTTAATTTTTGATAATATTTTTTTAAATATTAAATATATGTTTGAAATGTAATTAATTAAGGAACAAAATAAAGAATGTCTTTAATGGGCATAATGTCTATTACTTCATTGCATTGGGCTGGTAACTCAAGTGTTCTGTGTTCCCGTTCTCTTTTGAATACTGCAACGAGCGAGATGTGGTATAGCACAAGTAGAAACTGGAAAGGCTTTTGATAGGTAGAGAGGGGGTAAACGTCAAACCACGTCGGACGGCTTCGAGAATTTCGCAGTAATGTTTACCTGCTAGTATCGTCTCATAGAATAAGTAATTTTAAATTGTTACCGGCGGAACCGGACAATCGGATGTATTTATGGACTATAAATAATTATTAAACATGTATTATAATATTATTTTTCTTATGTGGGACATCCTGTATACATCTAACAAATTTTGAATTGTAGCCGTCTGTAACCTACGTATTCCTCCCAAACGAATTTTTTATATCTTTGGTCGTTTTCCCATAAAGCTCCGTCCCGTTGAGCGTGAGCCACCCTGTGCATATATATATATATATATATATATATATATATATATATATATATATATATATATATATATATATATATATATATATATATATATATTAATTACAAATTATGACATAGTTAACAGGATCATCCTTGTTTAGTTTATAAAGACTTAAATTAAACAAAAACGTGAACTTAGAACTCCGGAATGTAACTTCAAACCATTATCATGCAAACTTATTTTCAATTAATAAAAAAAATTACACCTCCGAGATCAAATTATCTTTCTCTTCATAGATAAAATAAGTATGTATAGTTTTCCTATAATGTAGACAAGAAAAGGACAAAATAATGATTCTAACAGTCAAAAGTATGCGCCTTGTACATATTGGTAGTTGGTAGTAAAAATTACCTAATAGTGTCTTATTGGCTCTCCACTCACAATTTAGCCTATCGTCAAACGTAAGTCTTTGTTACACGGGAAGTTAGATTGTGAGGAGTATTGTTTATTCATAATACCCTGGTCAAATACTCTAAACGGTGAAGGCCACTAATAAAAAAAAGAAGAATATGACACATCCAAAAATTGTCAGATTTGCTAGAGACGTGATGAAGTTTCTGTTTTTTCTCACGATATACACCCACCTAAGAGGTAAGTCTGATTGATTATAATTATAATATATGGCCCTTCTGTAGTATCAGTGTGGTGCTTAAAATCATAAATATTTTATAAGAAGTGTAAATCAATTGGTAGACGGTCTCTTGTTCTCAAATAATAATAGAGCATTAGCTTCAGATGAATGTAAAATGTAAGCTTTTTACTGAATCTTCCAAGGAAATACCATTATTCTTTTCACTAGGAAAAACCTCGTGTAAAATTCAAGAATCTGAGTTTATTTCAACATCTCTCTTTGTATAGGATAATATTAATTCAGACATCTAAAGCTAATAAATTACTTTTTCTAAGTAATAAAGTAACTGATCAATATAAAAGTGTTTAGAGGAAATCAAAATATAGGAAATTCGTAATAAAATTGCAGACAAGGCACTATGTAAACCTATTTTTGTTTTTTTTTAGAGACGTGTAGGAAAATCCATAGTACACAAATGGCAACGGAAAATGGAGAGGCCTTTACTATAAATAAAGTGACCCAAAGATGCTATAGAAGTAAGTATTACTGTCCGGCGGGACTACACCTACGATATAGTCCAACGAGAA